AATCCCCGTAACACATTGAACAGTTTTTCATCCAATTTAGATAGATTTTTTCTTAAAGTTTTTTGTCAAACCTTTTTTATTTTTCAAAATCTAACGATAATACAAATGACATACTTCATATGCTCAAACAAATGCTACAATATCCAAAGATAAATCACATACTTCTTGACAGTTTGGTCTATATATATTTCTCGGGAATATTAACAATGTATCGATATTTTTTTACAAATTTAGGGATTTCTCGGAGTTGACCCGAGCTACCATAAAGCCTTTCAATAATATTTACTAAGAAAAGTTTTTGGATTTTTAAGATATATAACAAATATTATAAAATAATATGCAATATTTAGTCTATATATATTGTCCATTCTAAGATATATACAGTTGATATATGAAAAATTTGAATTCCCGAAACGAGGAGCTCGTTTGACAAATGGCAAGATGGAAAAATTTGCCGAATTATCATACCCTAAAGAGAGTGTGAGGGGTTCGGTGGGCGGGGAGGGATGGGGGGTTTGACTGGTTAGCCTAATTTTGATTGATGCAATCAATTTATTCCGAACTGTTTGGCCAGACTGGCAATAGAAAGCCGCGCGTGGAGATTGCGCCGAAGGACATGCGACAGTTAAATGCAACTAGAGATTAAATGTCAATCCTTAAAATAATAAGAGCAGCCCACAAATAGGTTGCCAGCCCCAGGAACGACCACCACAATAAATGGATAATGAAGCGAACAAAGGGCCAGAGCAGAAGCAGAAACTGGAGCAGGAGCAGGGACAAGAAGCGGCAGCAGGAAGCGCAATCATTACGTCCATTGGCTATCACATTGTGCGCGAGTCCTGCTCCGGTTGCGGCTGGACATTGTTGAGGCTGCCATTTGGAGGCGGCAACACCATGCCCGTGGCTGAACGCAGGGAGGGCGTGGAAATGGGTGGGCATCAGGTCTAAGCTAGGGCAAAACAAATGACGCAGTCTGACCGAGGGGACGGCGCGAGACAGACAAACAAATAGCATCGCCTGAACGGGGCGCTTTGATTAAATGCGCGCTTGATTTGAAAATGATTTCATTAATTAAATGCGTCCACCTACCAGTTGCCCCGAACGGCACTTGCCACTTGCCCCGCGCCACTTGCCCTTTGCTCTTCGCCCGCGGGCTCTTTGCCTACCCCTCTGTGTGCACGCTGTACAAATTTTTTTGACATTTAATTATAAATTCTGGAATCCGATCGCTTTCACGTTTGCCTTTTTTTCTCATATTTCACGCGGTGCCTGCACTGAAAATCCGCCAAAGGCAACCAACTGGCCAATGTGCATATTTATAATACCCTGTTAGTTATGGAAAATTCGTAAGAAGGGGTTAAATGGTATTTTGCTCATTATTTTATTTACTTTCGATCGCTCTAGACAGCTGAGTTTATGCCCCGTCTCTTGTCATAGTTGTTGTTTTTCTTTTATCTGACCTGGCTGCATTCGAGTGTGACTATTGACTACGCTCTGTCGCCTAATTTTAGTCTCTGCTTTTATCTGTTGGTAGTTGTTGCCAAGCTTTTAACTAGTTCTACTTAGATACGTTTTAGTCTCCTTACTTTTTGCTGTACCGTGATTTGATGCCGATAGTTCGACCAATCAAACTAAATGCCATAAGTAGTGTGAAAGGCTTGCCAAATGCAGACCATGGTCGAGCATACCCTGTTGGTTTAGTGCTATCGAGGGTTATACTAACCGCTATCGAAATTGTTTGGATTATAGTTGCAAATGTGAAATCAAGCTTAGCCTTTAAAATTCAATTTTTATTGCATATTTAAATATAAATAAAATATATAAAAATATGTAGAAGAACGTGTCGGGTGTTGATGGTGACAGCCTGATCAGGGGTCTGATCGTTGGTTTTCATAACAGCTAACGATCAGTTTTGGACTCATCACTGGACTCTTCACTGTACGTGATTTGCGGTAGCCAGCCTTCGTCAGCCTCCCCCTTCAAATCAACAGCTAATTCTACGGCTATATGGCATCTTCTATTTGCGTACTCCCAACTGAGGCATGCTCACAATTTTGGAAAAGTCCCTTACACATTGGCAACCGATTGCAAACGACCCAGCCACAAATTGAACAACGCCGCCGGCCATTAGCGACCGTCCTTTATGCGACTTGTGTAGGCACATCTATACCCTTGCCAACGTTTCGTATGCAGGATATTTAGCATACTTTGTTTAGCTAGTTATTTTACAGAAAATCATAATTGTTGCTTGGATTGGTTTTGATTTTATCTCTAAACATAGCGGGGAGAAAAACCAAAATTCTCAAAGGTAAATAAAGCAAATGAATTGTGCTTTTAAATAGTTTTTTTTTAGTTAGCAACTATTTTTCGATATAATTAAGAATCGATAACAACCTCCAAATCAACATATCTTCTGGTTTATAAGAGCTAGATACATTTGATAAGCCGAAAGTATTTATCTTGTTGGACATCTTTAAAGAGTTATGCCTAGGGCCTTGGTTTGCGCCTAAATTTGTGTGCTATATTTAAGCGTCGAAAATGTTTAAAAGATTGGACAATAAAGTCCGAACCTATTCCAGAATATATTCTCTCTGCTCTTCGACAGGGTATACTCTTGTCGCCCTTAAAAACTCTTGTTTGTTTTTGTTAAACTTAACTTAGTTTTAAGTCAATTAAAGGCATTTTTAACTTTTAATGCAAACCTGGTTGCAGATACCCCAAAACACAACAAAATAGTTACATGCAACGGCTTTCTGCAAATTTTCCAGCCTTAAGCTGCCCTGTGTCAGTGCATGGATTATCAGATTATCAGGCATATGCGAAATTTTCAATTGCTCAGAATTTAGCAGCTGCCTCTTGATGGAAATTCTTTTGATCGCATATACGTTGAAGAGATTTCGCTGTGATTTGTATTGGCAGCTGCTCACTTATGATCATTATAATTGGGGAATGCTGCACTCATTAGACCCATAAATACTCGTAGGCACGCATTCATTTTGGGCTGCCAAACAGGCAACTGGGCTAATTAATTTCACTCTGCGTGACTTGCATGACTAAAAGCGCCTACTGACTGCTCAGTTCTCAACGTTCAGAGCTCGCTGGGAGGGTGGCTGCTTTGTGTTTGCGCCTGCTCTGCTGATGTACTTATACTTTCATCCGTTTTATAGATGTATATGTGAGCTATACTCTATACTCTCTCATATTGGCAGCGCCCAAATTGTATGAGTAATGATTAAATACTTGTTTGCCAAGTCTAGTGGCAACGCCCACCGAATGCAGTAGGCCCTGTTGATTGTCATGGCCAATGAATCATGAGACGTGCGTCCAGTCAGCGACAGCAAATAGTCAAACCCGTCCTCATCATCATCAGCATGCTTAAGATTGATCAGTTGGAGTAGCAACTGGGAGTGTTTCCTTCTAATTTGGCTCGATACACACACACACACACACACATACACACACACACACACAGGCACGCGCAAGTGTTCACTTATCAGGTTCAAGGACCCGCCTGCACGCGCTTTCGTCCTCTTTACTTTGGTTCGCTTAATCAGCAGCAAGTTAATCTGCAACTAGTTGCCACAAACACAAACACACACACACGCATACACACTAACATTCAGTGTGTGTTCGGTCTGCGCTTTAAACTGGGCTTAGCGCGCTTGGCGGTGCGGTGCCGGGGGTGGTCTTAGGACATAAAGTGCACTAAGATATGGCACAGTTCATTAACTTAATAAATATTCTATGTACACACTCACATACACATGCGAATACTGGGTATATGTTTGAGCCTGGCAGACGGCAACACGAACAACGACAACAGCAACAACAAATAACAGTAACAATAACATAAATAAACAAGCTTTAAATAGACGTTGGGCCAGCCAAAAACTTCATCAAGTGCCAACAAAAGTTACAACAACAACAACTAAAATCTCAAGGTGAATTATGCAAAAAGTGTTGGCCGGGGTGCCTGGGGGAAGGGGCAAGAGGCAAGGGGAGAGGCTGGCAGCCAAGGCAGGTTTACAAATAAGTTCCAATTTTCAAGTTAACAATGAAGCAGACGTCGCGGCTGGCTCTGCGTGTGCCTCATTGGAGAGAACCCCAGAGAGTCTGAACTGTAGTTCAGCCAAAGGGCAAATAGCCCAAATCCGGCAAGAGGGAGAGAGAAAGCGAGAGAGCGGTGAGGAACAGCCAAAAGTTTAAGCACAAATAGGTACGTTAATAGGTCCAAAGTATGGCAACTCCTTGAAAGAGAGCAGGAAGATAGCATGGCGATACGATGCGTTAATAATATAAAATAAATTTTTTAAATGGGAACCTGACGATAACAAGGCAATTATGCATTGCCTATACCCTGTAGAGGGTATCTTTAGTTTGTTATGAGCTATGTTACGCATAGCTAAAGACATCTCCGTGTACAAAACGATTATTTTCCTCTAATATGTTGACCTAAACCTGAACCCAACCATAAAAAAGGTGATAGATTGAGGCTTACTTTACTATATTTACAAATTGAAATTTCGGTTCATAAACCATTTCGGTTCAGAACTTTTTTGCTCGTCAATAATTTTTAAGGTTACCTCAAGTCCTATATATGTATATGGTATATAGGGAATTAAATATATCGTAATAAAGGGAGGAGACAATTAAATGGCATCATATATATGCAGACATGTTTCTACAGCATCCAGTTGTTTCTTCTATCTCTTTCGTTTTCTTTGTCCATAGCTCCCTCTCTCGCTTTCCCTCGCCCTCATTCACACTCAGTTATTTAACACCTTGCAATCGGCACGATGCTTATGACATAATGAATAAAGCGCAGTATCTGCTCTTAAATAACCCGCATAGCTGACCGAATTAGATATCAGAGTTGCATAGGGTATCTGTTGTTGTGTTTTATTGACAAATTGATAAGTTTATCGGACCACTGGTTGCTCGCCAGTAAGAATAAGAAGAAGAAGAAGAGAAGGAAGAAGAAGAAGAAGAAGATTAGTAACTTATGTGACTTTTGGCTTAACTAGCAAACTCAGACTTTATTCAACTAAAAACATACACGCACACACACACACACATTCAAGTGAGACTAGCCTAAGATAGTACAAATAGCGCCTGCCACAACAGCCTCTGGATAGGGGCGGTCGGTGGGAGGCGTGGGTCTAGACCGTTTGTGTAGCCACATGACGCTGGCGACTGCGTTTATAGCAGGAATAAGCCTCCAGGCCATTTATGCTGAATACGGTTAAACCAAAGAACTGCAGGGAAAAGAGAGACAGAGAGAGAGAGAGAGTTTGAGAGAGGGATTTAAAGAGATTTAGGAAATTTACTCACCGCTGCAGCCGTGTAGGCACCGATGTCCAGCGCGAGCACCAGACCGGAGGCTATAAAGTGGGCCAGCGCCAGCGTTGCGTGCACGCCAAGCGACCAGATCGTCGCATCGCAGCTCCAGCTCTGGCCGAGCCGCAGGTAACGACAGACGAGCAGCGTCAGCGTCGTCAGGCAGCCAAGCAGCGCGACGATCATGTAGAAGCAGCCCCGAAAATTGCTCAGACGCACCGAGCTGCACACAATGCACAGGAATCCAATGAATCCACACAGCTAAAGAGAGGCGAGCGCACAGAAGGGTTACAGAGACGAGTGGACATGTTTAGTTAAGCTACTTACCAGGCAGGTGATCTTGGACAAGCCGCCAATGCTGCGCAAATACTTGCGATCGTGGTCATCGTTAACAGACATGACAGCAGCCGCTGCCCAAAGCAAAACAAAGCACACACAGTTAACAGTAAACAGCAAATGACGATGCCAGCAACAACTACAACAATAGCGATGACAACGACAACGACAGCACAAGCGAACCGCTAACAACAACAAATGCACCTTGTGCCCACAGAAAACTCACATTGCGCGCGGGAGCAAGCACAAAATGCCACTGGCGGCGACGAATCGGCTGAAAGCTTAGAATGCCAGCAGCGGCACGCATGCAAACGCGAGAGTGAGCGCGCAATACACTATTACTCACGCAAGTAGAGAGCGAATGAGAGTGCAATACAAACATATGAACACACATAAGCCCATACATACACAACTACTCAATTCACACAACGAGTAGAGCGGCGCTCACAGCGACGGCTGTAATTTGTACCAAATATCAAGAAAAAATGTACCACACTCGCCAAAAATGTACCATTTGTATATATGCATGCGTTTTTTATTTTTCAATTTAAATCAACTATGATTTTTTAAATAGTTCCTTATTTGAATAAATCATATGCATAGGAATGAATTACAAGATAATTGTATTTAATTATCTATCACAATTTAAAACAAAATACAAAAAAATAACATAAATTATTAGCAGAACATATTTTGATAAACAGTCAGGGATTAAAAATCTGTTATATTATACAACTTTTTTCTTAGGGCTAAGAAGGTCTTGAAAATCTAAGGTCTGAAAAGTCTACTGCTGATAAAAACAGGAAATTCTTGAAATACATACAATATGCTCATTTATGATACCGAAAACGCATATATTGTTTATCGTTACGGCAAACATTGAGCACGAGCAGGCCAGCTTAAATTTAGTCAACACTAAACAGTCATATCAAAACATGTTTTTTTACTATACATTATTGTTTCCATAGAAAAAGAGAAAGAAAAAAAACATATTTTTATTGCTAAGGGATTTGTCAGAAATGAAATTGGCTAAAACTGTTATTAAACAAATGTACTTAGGTAGAAAATAATGAACCAATTGGCCAAGGAACGCTCAATGGTACACTCTTTGCGAAAACCGATTGTACCTGTTTAGGTACATTTATACCATATGTGTATCTCTCTCTCCCCCGGCTTCTCTCAGTTTTCTGTTTATTCTCTGTTTGCGTCTGTTTTGTATCTTTTTACGGCTATCGGCCTTCTGATAAATTTTGCTCAGCGCAAAACTTAAGTGGGGAATGGGTAACAAGCTTATCAGCTGACGATCCGTTTCTCTTGTTTCAAATTAGCAGCGCAGAGCGGCCTTCGTTTCGTACCATAAATTAGTAGTTGCTCAAATATACTTACGCCTATGTACATATATATAAAGCTGTATGATTGTACTTGCATTTGAATGTATTCACACTCTTGAGTTCTAATAGCCACGTGAGTCATTTACATTTGGAAATGCAGTCCCGACTCTCTGATTCATTCCATACGCTAAACATAAACAAATGGGAAAAATCGTTATGCCGCAAACAAGACAGTAAATTACGCACCGAATTACGCATGCTCTACAGAAATATATTAGAGTCTAGAACATATTTGCAAACTATATTAATAATATTATTAATATTAATATATTAATATATATGTATATATAAATATATGTATATACATAATGTAGCGAATAAACGACCTTTTTTGTGAATTTTAAAAACTTTTTATTTGTTTATTCGTTACATTTTGTGTTTGTTTTTTAGTAGTTTTGAAAGGACTTGAATCTTCTCATAAGCTGATTACGTTTTCAATTATTGATCGCAAGGAATTTCGCGGCATTACAAATTGTATCGCATGACGAATGCACCCCATTCACTTGAATGTGAGTGTATTCTGGCTCTTCTACACCCCATCAATTGAGTAATATACTTATTTTAATTGACTCGAATTCACTGTGCTCTGCATTAGATTTGTGTTTGGGTGGGGCGTGAAGAGCACATTGAGTCGTTTCACTCGCAGCGCCTCACTTGGCCAAGGTCGTTGCTGGCACTTGTTCTCAAATCGTAACGGAAACATATGGCGGCATCAATGATATGTGAATACCATTAGGGTAGATATGAAGGGAGCATAACTCTTGCGGACACGCCCAGTTGGAGCAGTGCTGAAAATGGGAACCGGAATTGACAAGCCGGAAATGATATGATGCCCAACAAGTGCTTCAACTTTGATTCTTTGAATTAACATACAGATAACGTAATACTACGAAAAGTCCGGAAATTACCAAATGTTGGACTTAGATCGTTTGATAGATCGCTAGACGATTGTCGTGCTCACTGGATTTATTTTTAAATTTTACTGATACGAAAAAGCCCGAGTGCTGAATTTAGTTAAATATGTTGAGTAAATACAGTGCAAATAACCATGCTTAATACACTTGTAGATCTATAGCAATAGCTATTCCATCTGTAGAAATATGTGAGATACATTAAGATATATAAGATATCATATGTAAGATATAAAAGATATATCAAATATATCAAGACGTTTTTAAGTATATAAAATATAAAAGATACATAAGATATATAAGATGTGTATGATATATTCAGATATATAAGATACATAACCTATATTAAGATATATTAATCCGATGCCGAAAGGACATACTGAATCTTATAAATACCTAGCCTGGCCTGTCTAATATATGTATCTTAAAAATTTCAAACAAAATTTATTCTCGACTAATTATTTCTATAATGATTTAGTTATCCAATCCAGCCACGTATGAACTATACGCAAGAGAAGGACGGACCTATGTGTAGTTTTATGACGGCAGCTGCAAAGCTGGGAGACTTTAATCCATTGATATAAAGATTAGAAATGTCTTCTTTAATGTTTTACTCATTACGTGAATAATTTATAATACCCACCACAAGGTTAACCAAAAACCTTAAGTACTCCTCAGTTTTGTCTGCACTTCTCTTACTCCCTTCAGATGTTTATATGGCTGCAATAGTGCATGACTAACATGCGAAGTACCACAGTTTATATGCCAAGCGCTTATAATTCCCAAATGGTTTTCGCAGCATGGCCAATCATAGAATTAGCTTTGTTTATACTGGCGAATTAGCTTTGCAGAATTTTAAATAGCGATTCATATGGATCACGCAAATTTAATTCAATTTGGTGCATTTATTTGAAAAAGTTTTGCATAGAATGTCTAATAATGTCTGTGGTTGCCATGCACATGGATAAAACGAGTGCAAATGTCCTTTCAAAGCGGACCGCCAATTAGTTAATGGCTCTTCACAACATTTAAATGCAGTTTATGCGGTAATTCAGATGTGCTATTATTTCGCTGATTGCGAAATTAAGTATCGAAATGTGTTCGATTTGAAATTCCAAACGATTTGGCCAACAGTAAAAGACCAATTGTCAGTTGTGACCGTGTGTGGGTAGGTGCCATTTTAGTTGTTGCCATTGTGGCTAGTGTGCTGTTTATTCTTATGTTTTTGTTTTGTTTATTTTTTTTTTTTTAGTCGAGTTGAGTGCACTTCACAAATCCGCTTGCCGAGTACCATTTGTGCTGTGCAATTTGGTGCCATGCAACGTTTTACAATGCCACAACGCACAACTAAATGTCCGACAGCCCGCTCAAAGCTTAACTTACCTAATGCGACACCGCTGCCGCCTCGTACCTCCTAGGTCCAGCCACAAGCTACTCCTCGAATTAGCTATGCGTGGACTCTATCTCTCCCTCTTTCCCCGTCCCCGCTCACTCTCTTGCTTGGGCACTTGCCCTTGCGCTTTGTCACTTTCGCATTCAGTTTATTTTTATTATTTTTTGCATTTCGCAATTCATAAAATAATAATTTTTATGATTTATGCCCATGGTTGAGCTTTCATCCCACTCCCGACAGGAAGCTCGTAGAAGCCAATCCCGCAGCTCCCGCCTTAGTCCCAACATACCCATTCGCTGCTGGTTGCCAGCCAACTGCTAATTTCTTTTGTGCTATTTTATTTTATCGCTTGCCACGCAGCCGTCAGACGCGTCGTATGAGCAACTCATTCAGCGACCACACTCATACACACACATCCTCTATAAATGTGTGTGTGTTTGAGTGTGTGCATTGCTGTGGGTGTCTAATTAGAAATGCAGTTGCCGTAATTGGCAACTGCAGCGGTAGCAGTTTTTTTTAAGTTGCCACGAGCAGCGACAGAAGCGTCAGCAACAACAACAACAACAGTTTCATTTCCTGACCCACCAGGTCAATTAGACGGCAGCTAACGACTACTAGATGCTCTTTTTTAAATGTTACCTTTAAAATTGCTGCAGTCAGCAGTACCCTATGAGGGTATTAACCGTGCCCAGCTTCAAGCTGATCATCGTCGATCGCGCGATCGTCCTTTAAGCGCACACAAACACACTCACGCACACACGTGAACAAGCGGCTTCTTCTTCGCTGAACCCACACTATAGAAAATACTTTCTTAAGTAACTTCGGTATCTGTGGTTCAATCTGTATACAATTCTCCGTGCTCAACTATGGCATCTAAATGTGTGCATATACTCAAGCTAGACGCTATATATATAAGAAACCTACACATACTGTAAAAATGCTTCCAAAGGTCTGAAAGATAATAGCTTTTGAGTCACCAGTCCACAAATCAAACAAGCTCAATTCGACTCAATTAAATTGTTAACAGAACTGTGCACAGGGTATAGTCTAGTTGGGTGTAATTCGCAAAGGTTTCCTGAAATCAATTTCCAACTCCTCTTCAATACAGAGCTTCAATGTTATTTTTTTTAGTTTAAGCTAAGAATAGGATCCGATTTTTATCTTAATGAACTCTGGCATTTATTTTGGAAGGCATTGCTGGCTCGTACTTCAGAAGTGTTTCCCTCTTGGACTGGTGGGCGTTAGACCAAAGCGCCATATGCCAATGACACGCCCACTTCACACACTTCACAGCCGGAGCAGGCAATTCTAATGCAAATTTCGTGGGGCATACCCTGACAGGGCCAGACTCTTTGGTAGCTGCAACTGACAGGCCTTCAGTGTGCCCAGTCGCAATCGTAATGGCAATCGCAATCGCCAACCAAGTCAGCCCGGGCACCCCGTCGCAGTCACCCCAGGCAACCCAACGCACAGTGGAATCCACTAGCATATTTACGCATCAAAATGCTATGCAACTATTTCAGATTGTGTTTAGTTGGAATATTTTTATAGGTTTATTATC